TTGAAAACTCTGCAAATAATATCCGGGCGATCCTCAGGTCGCAATCTCTTTGGTTCTAAAAATCGAACAATCTCGGGCCATTTTGGATTGCACGTGAATGCTATAAACAAATCGGGATAACCTGCCCATCCGCAAATTGCCATTGCATCCTGATAATTTTGAATCATGTTTCGAGGTCCCCCAGTGAATGAAGAAGGCAGGATAATTCTCTTTCCTCTAGAGCTTGGATCGACATCGCCCTGAAGAACTGCATCCGCCAATCTATTGTAAATATCACATCAGAGTCGACTCTGATTGAATCGTATGTACCGCAACCTCGATGATTCAACCATGGTATATGCATCAACGAAAAATTGTTGAAACAATCTTCTCGATGAAAGAATAGTAGATGGTTCATGTTTCTTATCATGGATCCGATATGCAAAGTATTCCCGGACGTTCACTGTTTTGCGACCCTTTTCTTTTTCAACTTTCCGATTTGAAAACGGTATATCTTCTCTATAGCCATCCTCGCCATAGGGCAAAAGAAGGGGATATTGTAAAGCCAGATATGAAGCATTAAGCTCATTTATTCGCTGGAGTCGTCCGCTCTTGGTTTCAACCAATATATCTCGCTCACCCATAGCCTGATCGAAATCTCCAACGACTAATACAGCAACTTCAGAACTCGTCGGCAAGTTATAAAGTCTGGCATCATGAGACCTCCTTCCAATCAAACGAATCTTGACATTAGTTTCACCATGTTCTTGAATTCTTTCTCTAGCCAAACGAAATGATTTCACAAGTTCGTTGTGCTCATCCAACATGGTCGTCAAACCAGAAATAATTTCACCATTCAAATCAGTAGCACCGTCAGCATTTCTGATAAATGAAAGGAATTATGTAAGGCAATCAAATAATATAAAAAGAAAAATAATAAATACTCGAGTAAGGATATTGTTTGAATGCTGACCTGACAACATTCATTCTGTTGGTTACTTCATTATCAGTGTCATATATATAGAGCTGAGCAAACTTAGGAGTTGACCCTTAAGAAGGAAGTAAACTACCCATGAGATGGTAGTTTTGTCCGTGCAAACTGAAGACCGGTGGTCCAGATCCTTTA